TGCTGATGGAAGGAACGTTTGTACTCTAGGAAGAGTATCACTGCAGTGTCACATCATGGGATCTGAGGTTTGGCTGATCGCATCGATCGGATTGACATGATGAAGGACGCTTAATACTGTAGTCCAAGCTTCTGGAAACAAAAGAAGGAGAAGGAACCTTGCTACCTTCTTATGGTTTGCAAAGCCACCAACGACGTCAGTCAGATTGATCCGAACACCCCTCCGGGTTCAGGCGACAACGTGTTGGATAAAATCCTTCAAGAATTTGAAGGGGTATTTCGTAAGGAGTTGCTGTTAGTCGAACGCCCGGACGAAATACCTCCAACAAGAACGTTGAGGGATTTGATCATCCCTACGGAAGGAAGCGACCCCGTCAACATTCGATCTTACCAGCTCACTGCCGCTCAACTCGAGGAGCAGGATCGACAGATTGAATCACTCGTCGAGAAGGGGCTCGTACGCGAGAGTTCCTCCTCGTGGGGGTTCCCCGTGCTATTCGTAGCCAAGAAAGGGGGCAAATTCCGGATGTGCCTCGATTACAGAGCACTCAATCAACAAACCCGCAAAAATCGCTATCCTTTGCCAAGGATCCAGGACTGCCTTGATCAATTAGGGCTGTTGAAGATATTTTCGAAACTCAATCTCACCTCTGGATACTGGCAGATCAGACTCGCCTCTCAAGATGTGGAGAAGACCGCCTTCAACACGCAAAATGGAAAATGGGAATGGCTCGTCATGCCTTTTGGTCTTGCAAACGCACCTTCGACATTCCAAGCGATCGTCAATCGCGTTCTTAGCAAGTACATCGGCAAGTTCGTTATTGTGTACCTAGACGACATCCTCATCTTTTCAAACAGCGTTGAAGAGCATCGAGAGCACGTACGACTGGTTCTGGAGGCATTGAAGGAGGCTAAGTTGTATGCCAAGCCTTCAAAATGCGCCTTCAATGTGAAGGAGATCGACTTCTGTGGACACTTGGTTGGCGACGGGAAAGTACATCCCCTCGACGACAAATTGAAGGTGGTAAGGGAGTGGCCGACGCCAAAAACGGCCCACAATGTTAGGA